GGGGAGCCCCCCTCGGTGCCCTGCCCCAGAACCCCATGGGCTGAGAGTGTCCGGGGGGAGACCCCCTTAGTGCCCTGCCTCAGAACCCCCTGGGCTGAGAGTGCCAATGGGGAGCCCCCTCTCTCGGATTGAAATACATCCCTACCCTCTTTCCCTCCAACTCTCTGATTTCATGTTAAATGCATGTTTGGGTGGAAGGTCTGTTCCTCTGAGCTGGGCTGGGACCCCCGTGAGCAAGCCCCCCCCCCCACACCCTCACCTGCCCCCCACCCTGCTCCTAATGCCCCAGACCAGCTGCAGGTGCCTTGGAAGCGCCAGGCTCTGGCTGAGCTCCAGGTCTGCTCCGGATGCCCACGTCAACGCCTCCCCCCCTTCCGCTAGCGCCAGTACAGCGCCACCGGGGCACAGCCGTGGGGCACGCCAGCGCGGACAGGGCAGGCTGGGAAGGTCTGCATTAGAGCTGCCCTCCCCCCCCACCCCGTGGTAACGTGGTGGGGGGATTCGGCACAGAGCCAGCCTCGGCCAGGCCAGCCTGTGGGATCCGCAGTGTTCAGGTGCCGCTCGGGATTATTTTCTATTTATTATGTTGTATCCAGCCGCGGGTTCGACCAATAAAGATTTGGGTTTGTCCAGCCCCCCGGTGTGATCTTAGCGCCCAGGCGGCTGGGATAACGCCGGCTGGAAGAACGGCATGTGAGGTGCGTGGGGGGTGGGGTGGGCTTCCTTTCTCCTCCCCCCTCCCCCACAGTCGGGTTAGCAGCAGCTGAATGTGGGGGTTGGGGGGGAGAGGAGGCCAGCGGGGCGTTGACAGCTATGGGGAGTGTTTGACTGTCACACAGAGCCCTGGGCAGCCCCAGGGATGTAACCTGGCATCTCTGCATCTCCCAGGTAGCGAACCCCACTTCTCCCAAATACTCCAGCGGGGAGCCTCCAGCTATTGGCCGAGGGCATTGTGGGGGGGAGGGGCAGGATGGGAGCAAGACCCTCGTGGGCTGGGCTTCCATAGCCCAGCACCCGCGTTTGCGTCTCTTTCTGGTGCTGGACAGATGGGTGCTGTGCCGAGCTGGGGGGGCCACGCTGGGAGCCAGGAGTCCCAAGGGATGGGCGTGCTCTGTGTTCCGGCGCACCCTGCTGGTGAAGCTGGTGTCACGGCCAGCGTGCGTGAGGCCGTCCCCAGAGCCGTGAGAGCCCAGTGCAAGCCAAGGGATCGGCATTCACGGCCCTGTGTCACTGAAACCTGCTCTGAGGGGTTGGTGACCCCAGGCACCAGCTCGCCACGCCACTCACACAGATTTGGCCTGGCCAGTCCCATCAGGTGGGCCTGGCCAAACCTGAGTGACACTGTAACCCCAGAGGTTGCATCAGAGCAGGGAGCTGAGCCCCACCAGCCCCACAGGACGAGCAGCCGCTGGGGTGTTTAGTGCCTATTACAGAGCCGTGGCTATTACAGAGTCTGGGTCAGAACCAGTTCCTGAGCCACATGGTTTTTACACTGAATCTATTTGTTGGGTGGCAACAGGCCGTCGAGGTTTGCAAATGGGTCCTGAGCACCACTGCTGCTGCAGAATGTCTCAGGCCTGGCACAGACCCCGTGCCCCGGGCAGAGGCCAAGGCCTGTTGCTACGGACGTTCAGCGGCAGCCTCAAGGGCTGAGCGTGGGGCCCTGGGGTGCAGAGGGGCCTGGCACCCGAGCAGTTCAGTGATGGCCAGCACGGGCAGGGAGCGGGCCCATCACTCGCCGGGTGATGCACCCCGGCCCGGGTCTGGCATTGATGAAAACGAATCTGGCTGCCATTATCCAGCTGGGCGTCTGGAGCTGAATGGGGCGGCTGGAGTAGTGACCTCAAGGGCTCAGTGGGGGGTGTTCTGGGCTGGGCTGCAGTTCTTCACTTTGCTCACAAGATGTCGCTGTCTCCTGAGCTTTGGTGCCCTGACACCCCCAATTCCTTCATAGGCCCCACTGGCTCAGGCAGCCCGGGCGGCTCTGGGAGGCAGGGAATCCTCCGGGGGCTGGAGCTCCTCAGGGCGGGGTTTCTCCAGGCTACTTTCCTTGTCCGGCCTCAGGCATGACACCAGTGAGGCCCCCAATGCCCCTCCGTCCGGCCCCGCAGCCCCCTGGTATTCCAGCCCCGGGCTCCCCTCGTCCCCCAACACCCCGCCCTCCGGCCCCGCAGCCCCCTGCTATTCCAGCCCCGGGCTCCCTCCGCTGCAGTTGTGCCAGTGCCTCTTAGTCCTGCCCTGCAGCTCCCTACTATCCCAGCCCTGGGGTCCCTCCTGTACTCCCCCAGCTCTATCAATGCCCCTCACCTGCAGCCATGCTGCTATTCCAGTTCTGGGTTCTGCCCAAGCTCTGCTGGTGCCCCTCAAGCCTGCCCCACCCAGCTCTGGGATGCCCCACCATGCTGACCAGCTATGCAGCTCCCTCCCCCCCACCTCTGTCAATGCACTTCAGGCCTGACCTGCAGCACCCCCTGCTAGGCCTGGCAGGAGCCCCCTCCCCCACTCAGATCTGGCAATGCCCTGCAGGCCTGAACTCCAGCCCCCTGACAGGCCAGACCTGGAGCCTTCTCCGTTTGGCCTTCTTTTCTTTTAACATGAAATCAACTTCATAAAACAGGCATTTGATCTTTGGCCACTAAAAATATGGAAATTTCTCTGTGAAAATGGTGCATTTCTACCTTGGTCAAACTCAACCCTGCCGTGTTCACTAGTATGCACCACCCTAGGCCTCCGCGGCTTGTTTCCAAGCAGCATTTAGAAGTTTGGCTGCTGCTCCAAACTTCACAGCTCTGTAAAACGGAGCTGGAAAGACCACCCTGCCTCCATGGGACATCGACCCCCCCGCCCCGAGCTTCCCATCATGGCCTGGAGCACAAATAAACAATGGAAGAAAGTTTGAACCAAACTTTGCCAAACCACAGCAAATATTTGGCTCGGGTTTGGTAACGTGTTGGATGAAGACTTAGGACAGAGCTTATCCTCATAGCCTGGTGCCCTATCTCCTGCGTCCATAAAATAAGGAGGGTCGGCAGATTGTCGGGTTAATTCACAGGCTTTAAGGTCTGCCCACAAGTCAAAGACTTGGAAGGTGGTGGTTGGCTTGGCTGCAGTTAGCGCTCTGCTGGAGGGAGTTGCGCCGGCCAGTCAGAACAGCCGCCGCCTCCTGCAAAACTAGATTTTAACCACCCCCCCATGTCGGCCATTTCTCTCCTGCAATCTGCCGGGTGACTCATGAATAGATGATTGGGAACGGTACCTTGAGATTAAAACACAGAAGGAGGATTAATCCTGGGAAGAATTTGTGGAGTTTAATACAAACCCAGAGATTGACATAAATCCTTAGACCGGATTTGGCAGAAGCTGAGAGCTCTGCTGACATCTCGGATGGTCGGGAGCCCAGAGCAATCCAGACACGGACCAGATCCTCAGCTGGTGTCAATCAGCATCATACCGAGCTATACTCATCCGGAACTGACCCATATCCCGTGGCTAGAGGGACCCCAGAGCTGAGCCCAGTGCATCACCTCACTCATTACCCAGGGCAGCCGGAACCAGCAGAATGACAATATTCCTAGGATGTCCAGACCTGCATACCACAGGCCAGTGACTCTTGAGCCTCAGAATGATATTGTGGTAGCACCTGGACACCACAGCCCTGCAGCCCTAGGTGCTGTACGAACATAGAGCAGCTACAGTCCCGACCCTACCCCAAAACACTCTATAAATCTGCAGACAACAGGCGGATGCAACAGACAGGCACACAGTAGCCAAGAGCTTATCCTGAGCCGCGGGGGCTGTTAAAACTGCAGAATTGCAAAACAATCTTGAACTCAGAAGCTGAAATTCCCCGGGAGACTCAGATTTGATCAGTTATCTTACTTTCGGTCTCTGGGAGAAAGAAAGAGCCCCAAGATGTCCAGCAGATTCCCATGAAGATGACTTGGCATGTGGTGACCGTTGGTTGGAAATGTATTTTGTTTTTTGGGGGAAAAAATTAATTAAAATTGAAAAGGCAAAAAATTATTCCTTATTTTTTGCAAAATATGGATTTTCATTGAAAAACACCCTCCCTCTGCATAGTGTGTGTATGGGAGGGGTGTATTGGATTGGGGGGGTTGGAAGAAAAAACCCATTTTGTTCAAAAGTTATCATCTTTCATTACAAAAAGTCAATGCCACGTTTTGATGGGCTCTAATCGGTGCTCTGGTGTAACTAACTGGCACAGGATGTAGCAAACGGCTGGCGCATCAGGAACGGATGCTGCTGGTACGTGGGTGATGGGTATCAAACCCCAAACATGGTGCACAGCCCAAACTGGGTGGATTGTCCCTCCCCCCGCCTAGGTTTGTTTGGGTAGCTCTTCACTGCAGAGTTTACCTGGCTTCGGGCACTGGGATGGATGCCCAGGTTAACCAGGCTGGCTATGAGCAGCCACAGGCAGAGCTGCATGCAGGTCATGCCCATGTAGCCATGCCCACGCCGGCCCTGCAATAACCTTCATCGATTCCAAGGCCATTGTGATGGTCTAGTCTGACCTCCCTGATCATGCGCCAGGATTTCTGCGGGCATATCCCATGGTTCTTAGTGTGATGTCAAGGCACCACCCGCGGGAGCTCTGATTGGAGGATCACCCGGCTCCGCTGATTGGTCCAATTACGCTATTTAAGCCAGGAGGCGGAACAGGAAGCTTGTCCAAGCAACAAGGTGGTTTCCCTTGTGGCTGCAACGGACCCTGCTTACATCTGCCTCCAACCCGGTTCCCACCTTGTTCCTGATCCGTGCTCGATCCTTGCCTCCCCTCCAATCCTCTGTGACCAGCCCTGGCTCTGACCCTGACGCTGGCTTGACCCTTGGCTCTGGTAACTGACTGTTGACTCTGGTGCTGACCCTTGGCCTTTGCTCCCCAACCTGGACACCTGCTCTGCCCACTAGGCCAGACCGCCGATGTCCCTC